TACAGAATCTTATCGACCAAAAACACTAAAACAGTCATACCTCCCAAGCGTCATGTATCTGATGGAGATGGTGTTGGAGGGAAACTCAAAGGATGCAGCTATAAGAAAACACATACCCTATGCTAATCTCTTTATCTAATTTATGCTTTTATCTTTCAAGTAAATCCATACCCCCTAACAGCAGTGTCCAGTAAAGCAGGAAGTCAATGGGCGGGGTAAAAGGGTGGGCCACTGACGCGAATTACGTGACCAGAACTGCCAAATGGGGTGAACATGCCCAAAAAGGGGGCATGTCTGTCCAAAGAATTGGAAGGCCAGCCTGGCATCAGTGACCCTATGTATCACGTCAGTGTTCCCATGTCACCCAGTCTCCCAGTGTCTGTGTCCCCATTTCTCCCAGTGTCCCCATGTCTCAGTGTGCCCCGTGTCACTAGGATACTAGGGGACATAGGGACACAGTGAGACATGGGGACACTTGTGGATACAGACATGGGGACACAGACATTTGGGGACACTGGGAGAAATGGGATCACAGGCACTAGGGACATGGGGACACAGACATTTTGGGAAACTAAGACACTGGGAGACATGGGGGCACTTGTGGACATAGACATGGGGACACTGGGAGACATGGGGACAGACATTTGGGGACACTGGAGACATGGGGACATTGAGACACTACGGACACTGACTGGGAGACATAGGGACACAGACACTGGCTGGGAGACACTTGGGGACACTGGGAGACATGGGGACACAGACATTTGGAGACGAGGGGACACTGGGAGCCATGGGGACACTGGCTGGGAGACATGTGGACACTGTGTCCCTAGTGTCTCCGTGTCCCAATGTGTCTACCTATGTCTCACAGCGTCCCCATGTCTCAGTGTCCCCATTACTCCCTGCTGCCTTTCCCCCCACCCTTCACATACCTGGGCTGTAGTCTGTCTATGCAGGCTGGAAGCTGCTGTCTGGGCTCTCTGTGCGGTGTAACTGCTCCCCTGTGGATCAGTGAGTAGAGAGAGGCAGGGAGATGCTGTAACTTCCTATCCCTGCCTCTATCCATACACAGTGACCCCTACTGGCCTGTGCTGGTATTGCAGAGTAATCTCCATTTACATTGAGAAAAATATTTGCATTTGTATTGCTGGTATTACTGCAATGCCGTCAAGGCCAGGCAGCCTCAAATACCGGCTGTGCCTTAAAATACCATACCTGTCTCCTACTGTGCCAACCTCAATCTGTGTTTCTCCACCTGCTCAAACATCCATCTGTCTCTCTCCTCCTGTCTTAACCCCCATCTGTGTCTTTCCTTCTATCTAAACCCCAATCTGTGTTTCTCCTCCTCTCTAAACCCCAATCTGTGTTTCTCCTCCTCTCTAAACCCCATCTGTGTCTCTTTAAAGGGATACTATAAGTGCTATAAATACAAAGCTGATTTCCTGGCACTATAGCAGCTCCTTCCTCCCTCTCCCCTCGCACACCCTCACCGACGTGAATAAAAAAAAACTTTTCTCCTCCTCTCTAAACCCCATCTGTGTCTCTTTAAAGGGATACTATAAGTGCTATAAATACAAAGCTGATTTCCTGGCACTATAGCAGCTCCTTCCTCCCTCTCCCCTCGCACACCCTCACCGACGTTTTTTTTTTTAAATGGGCCTATTCCATGGACCTGGGCCTGGAGCTGCAGCTCCATTAGCCCCTATGTTAATCCAGCCCCATACCGAACTGTCTGTAGAAAGCTGGATATTTGGCTGTTTTTTTATTTATTTTTTTGTGGAATTCCTGGGTGGGGGTTGATTACACCACAGCCATGAAACCAGGGGATGTTCAAATTTAGAAATAACATTACGGCAAATGAAGTAACTAAATATCACGGAGGAGAGGTGAGTATTGTGGGAAAATTTCTTTGACCACAGGAAATAGAGCAGACTTAAGTTCCTCATTTGTTCAAAGTAGGTCAAGTGCAGGAAAAATACAAAAGACAAAGTAGCCCCTACTTTGTCGTATATTTTAAAGAAAACTAGATCAGATGCTGAGGGACATTGGCACAGGGATAAGGTAATTAAATAAAGGGTTTTTAACCCTTTATTCACGTCGGTGAGGGTGTGCGAGGGGAGAGGGAGGAAGGAGCTGCTATAGTGCCAGGAAATCAGCTTTGTATTTATAGCACTTATAGTATCCCTTTAAAGAGACACAGATGGGGTTTAGAGAGGAGGAGAAACACAGATTGGGGTTTAGAGAGGAGGAGAAACACAGATTGGGGTTTAGATAGAAGGAAAGACACAGATGGGGGTTAAGACAGGAGGAGAGAGACAGATGGATGTTTGAGCAGGTGGAGAAACACAGATTGAGGTTGGCACAGTAGGAGACAGATTGTGGTTGCCATAGGAGGAGAGAGGGAGAGAGAGGTTGCCGGAGGAGGAATGAGACAGATGGAGTTTAGAGAGGAGGATAGACACAGATGGATGTTTAAACAGGAGGAGAGACAGAGATGGATGTTTAAACAGGAGGAGAGACAGAGATGGGAGTTTGGACAGGAGGAGAGACACAGATGGATGTTTAAACAGGAGGAAAGAGACAGATGGGGTTTAGAGAGGAGTAGAGACACAGATGGATGTTTAAACCTCCATCTGTGTCTCTCCTCCTGTCTAAACATCCAGGGATGGATGCCAGCAGCAGCAGGATCCCCACTCCCAGGCTAAAGGTAAGCAGGGAGGGGGGATATAATCACTCAGGTCACAGCAGCCTCACTTACTCACAGACACCCTTGCACCCAGGCCCGGACTGGCCATCGGGCACACCAGGCAAATGCCCGGTGGGCAACGGTGGCCATGGGCCGAGGCCGGCAGGGACATAACTATCCGAGCGCCAGCCATGCAGTAGTCCACAGTGGGCTGGTGAGGGAGATCAAAGATCTCCCTCACCGGCCCACATACAGTATACTGCGGCCGGCGGGGAGAGCGGGAGGGAGGGAGACAGCACCCCTGACACTCACAACACCCTCACTCACACACACTGCACCCCTGACACTCACAGCACCCTCATTCACACAAACACACTACACCCCTGACACTCACAACACACACTGCACCCCTGACATTCACAGCACCCTCACTCACACCACCCTCACACTCACTGCACCCCTGACACTCACAGAACCCTCACTCAAACACACTGCACCCCTGACACTCACAGCACCCTCACTCAAACACACTGCACCCCTGACACTGACACTCACAGCACACACAAACACTGCACCCCTGACACTCACAGCAACACACAGCACCCCTGACACTCACAACACACACTGCACCCCGGACACTCACAGCACACACACACACACACACACACACACACACACACACACTGCACCCCTGACACTCACAGCACCCTCACTCATACACACTGCACCCCTGACACTCTCAGCACCCTCACTCACACACACTGCACCCCTGACACTCACAACACACACACACTGCACCCCTGATACTCTCAGCACCCTCACTAGCACACACATACACACACTGCACCCCTGACACTCACAGCACCCTCACGCAAACACAGCACCCACTCACACACAGCACACACATACTTTTAATAATACTTTTAACCACATATAATTAATAATGTAAATGTGCATGGCCATATATGCTTTTCCAAACAAGGTGGCAACCGTACTGCTTCATTAATGAACCCCAGCCTGTCATATTCCTGGTTTGGTGTATGTGATTAGATGAAAGGGAGTAGTTTGATGTATGATAGAATGGTGAAAGTGATGAAAATTATTAGATGAGTGGTTGAATCGCAGAAAGATCATGATCAATGGGGGTAGGTGACATGTGTTCCGCTCTCCTGTCCCCCCGCTTCACACAATTGTTCTCCTGCCATCCATCACATGTTCCTTTATAATCTCACCTTCGCTCACTTTATCTTCTCCCTCCTCCTCCAGTGTCCTTCTTCTAATGCAACCACGATGCACACCACAATTCTTGTTCAGTGGCGATGGGGCTTCAGCGGCAAGCGGAGGTTGAGCTTGTGTGAGGATATGGCGTTGACATAATATCTGTGCGTTCTCTTATAATTCTTTTGGTTGTCTGCCATGAATTTAGGACTTCCTGCAACGAGTGCCTGGTGAGAAGGGGGGAGTGCTAGAGTATTTCTACTGTACCACCACTGATAAAGACTTCAAGCAGTGCCGCCACTCTCCTGTATGCCACCCTGAGGTCGTGACCTAAGCGGCACTATGAGAAATCTGGCCATAGGTGGGGGCTATCTTTGGTGTTCTGTGAATGTGGGCTGATTGTGGTAGTGTACATAATCTGTTTGTATTATTGCTGGTGTTTATGCGGGTTGTCGGTGGAATGTGGGCTGCCTGTGAATGTGGGCTGCTTGCAAGCTTTTGTATGTTTAGATGTTTGTTGTGTGTGGGATTTTATGTGGGAGAGTCATTTGCAGGTAAGTTGTGCATTGCTTTAATATAAATAAAAACACGAATGTATAAGTGGAGGCCAAACAAAGCGAAACAATGAGCCTCTATATACACCAAAAAGTGCAAGTGCAACAATACAGGTGCTATACTTAAGTAGTTCTTTGTGCATCCAATTTTCTCATAAAAAATTAACACGATCAACAAATGATTGTGAAATATATTAACCCCTTAAGGACACATGACATGTCATGATTCCCTTTTATTCCAGAATGTATATAGAAAACATACAACACCAAATTTATTATACATTTGAAACACTTTAAAACCAATGTAGAATATAGAAATGTGCAGCTGCTTACGAGATAGCTGAAGGTGAGTGTATGCAGGTGGGATGCTCCTCTACTCACAAGCGCTTGTATGTATCATGAACATGGAGGTAGTACTGGAGATGGGTGGAAAAGTCAGTCCTATTTGCCGTTGGTGCTAGCGTCTTGCTGTGTATACAGTCAGCCTCCACAGCTCGTAAAGCAGTGACAGATTAGTGGGTTTGAAGATCGCGGTATTAACAGTGCTGTCCACTGATGACGTCAGTACGTGTTACGTCAACGCATTTCGCCCATCGGCTTCGTTAAGACATTAAGGTACGTATCGTCCATATTGCTGATGGGACAATTTAAGGGCAATCCAGCACGCCCTCAATCGTCTCTTATTGGTTGGAAAATAGAAGTCATGTACATGTCAGCCAGTCAGCACCCATTTACAGAATCAGTTCTATAATCAAAACAAATTACAATATAATTATACATTTGTTATATTAAACAGGATTTAAAATATCATAATCAATTTTTATAACCATCAGTAACAATCTTATAACCAGCAAAAAATCTTCCTGAAAACAAAAGAAACTAATTAATAAAAATGCTTCAGAATATTTAATACTAGACTGCATTAAAAAAAATTCAAAAAATTATTACATGGCTAAAAAAACAGTGATGACATAAATACATAAGTTCTCATCACATGATGAAAAATAGTAATGTTGAAATACAAATAATTAGTGATAAACAAATATATGTATAACCAATTTAAAAAATGACAATTCAAAATCTTTATTTAACCCATGTGGGATTAGTGTATTAAACTCATTCATTTTTTTTCATCTTCACTTTCCCTATCTTTTGATTAAACTCCCCCCTCTACAATCATGGAAAATACCTTTAAAACTTAAAAATGAAGGGTCCCCATTATGATGATCCTTAAATTGGAATGACACCTGGTGTTGTTCAAATTTTTCTTGATGTTGTTTACATGCTCACCTATCCTGATTTGTAGGGGACGTGTAGTTCTACCTATATAATATAACCCACATGGACAGGTGAGCATGTATATAACATCCTGGGTATTGCACCTAATGCATTCCTTAATATTATGAGTCTTGCTATGTGCAACAAACTCCTGGATGTTGCATTTCTTTGAGTGTGTAAGCTGGCAAGCCCGGCACTTTCCACATCTAAGGAAGCCTGTAAATTGAGTTAAGAAATTTACATCTGTCTGTTTCTCCTTTAAAATTGGATTATCAGCTAAAATCCTTTTAAAATTTGGCAGGTCCCTATGTGTAATTTTAGATTTAACAGGTAAGATGTCTTTAAGAATGGGATCATTTAGAAGTAAATGCCAATATTTATTTAGGATGTATTTTAATTATCCGTTTTGATTACCTGAGAATTGGCAAATGAATGGGACGAAGTCTGTGTTTTCATTAGCACTTTTTGTTTTGTATTTTAATAATTCATCCCGTTCCATCTGATTGACTGAATCTAGGGCAGTGCAGAGTAATTTATTGCTGTATCCTTTGTCTTTAAAATCTTTAGTTGTTCTCTGTCCCGGGCTGACAAAAGTATTGTGGTCAGAAAAATTTCTTTCTAACCTCATATTGACTATTGTGTGCATGGTCTAGCCAGGAACTGAAATGGCAGCTTGTCCTCCCAATATAGATATTCACATCGACTGACTTAAAGAAAGTCTTAATTAGATAATTTTTGATCTAATTAAGACTAGTTGATCTGTATGTTGCTATATTGAAAGGACAAGGCAATGCCCCAGTCATTGTCATTTACATACTCAAATTGTTGAAGAAGAGATTCTCCCACTTTCTAAATGAATAAGAGATCATCTATGTATCTCTTGTGGAGCACCAGGTTTGACCCCCCAGCGCCATTCCTGCCTAGATGGCTAGATTCTCAATATGCCATGAACAGGTTGTCATAGCTGGGGGCAAACCTGGTGCCCATCGCTGTACCACAATTGCTTTACTTTATTAGGAAAAAAGTTATTCTAAAGTGTTTTTTTCTATGCACCCTATGCTTGCCTTCCTTTGCATGTACTTGTAATACTGAATGTGCGATGTTGTTTGTCCACATCGCACAGTCAAGTACTACAAGCCCTTGTGGGGAGGGCTAAGTTATAAAAAACTTTTTTTTTTGTTTTGTTTTTTTAAAAGGGGAGCTGAATGTAAGCATGTTTTTGTATGGACTAGGTGGGTGTGCATGGAGTAGTGTATGTGTACTTACTGTTGCCATTTAAATGCAATGGTGTGTTTCTATATAGTGTTGGCGTTCAAATGCTACTGTGCATTTGTGGTAGTGTTGGTGTTTAAATGCTGGACATATACACATACTGACACAGATTAAGGATGAGTGCACACAAACATAGTTACATAGTTAACTACTACTTGCGTCCATCAAGTTCAGCCTTCATCACATATGTTTTTGCTGTTGATCCAAAAAAAGGCAAAAAAAAAAAACTATTCTGAAGCGCCTAAATGCATATATGTTATCATATCCCCTCTTAACCTTTCTTCATACCTAAAATGCTCCATTCCTTTTATCAATTTTGTAGCTCGTCTCTGCACTTTTTCTAGTGCCATGATATCCTTCTTTAGAATAGACATGTGCAATTCGTTTTGATCCGAATGTGAATTCGGATGAATTTCGGCAATTCGGACATTCGGGTACGTCCAAATGTCCGAATAGCTGAATTGCCGAAGTTCCGAAATGCCGAAGCACAGTATTGCCTGAGAACTAATATACTTACCCAGTGGAAGAATGAAGAATGTTACACTGTATACAATTTTTTTTTTTTTTTTCAAATTTGACAATTTTTATTGTTTTGTCATTTCTTGGAATGTAGAGGGTACAGAATGAAGAAAGGGAGGGGTAGGGAGGTTGCAATTCCATAAATAAGTTGTGCAAGGTAGTAATTACCGACAGTGTCTTTAGGCACAATTGTGAAGTTACATACAATAGTTATTGAGCAGTACCAGACAGTTGACATTCGTACATTGGCCCTGGCATATATACCTTTCCCTTACTCTTGAGATGGATGTGAGAGCCAGAGCCTAACCTTATGTCTCAATAGTGGTGTTTGACATGCTTCCCCATGGGAGACCTGATGTTTGCTTGGGGTCGCCTGGGGTTTAGTCAGGTAACTAAGTAGGTTTGCCTTTTTACCTCTAGCTTTGTTTGGAGTGGTCGTACTCCTTGTGATCAGTTAGTCTGACTTTCTCGTATGATGGGATAATCTTTGATGGGTATTCTAATCTTTGAGGGGTATTTTATAGGTTTAGGTCTGTCGTGAGGCCAGCTCACGTTTGTAGGTTCTCTGTTGTACCACCTTTGTATGTTTCCCATTTATCCCATGCTATTTCCCAGTGCCTCCGGCGCTTATTATGTGGTTTGTTGGGAGGCGTGTTTTGCCGTCTCATTATGGTTTCGAAATGGCCCGCCTGGCTAATTTGCTGCATGCACATGGAGATAGAGGGTACAGTCTGTGATAGCCAGTTTTGTGCTAGGGCACCCAGGGCTGCTATATTGATATGGAAGATTAGATACCTGTCTGGCTTAGGTAGCGCTTTAGGAATATTGAAAAGCACGTAGTGTTCTAAATTATGAGGCAGGGAGCATCCCGTGCTATTTGTAATGAGTTTGGATATGTCTTTCCAGTATTGTTGTAGGCTGGGGCAAGTCCACCATATGTGTGCCATGGTCCCTGTGCCTGATTTGCACCTCCAGCATTGTGTCGGAAGAGATTGGTTGTATTTGTGTAGTCGTATGGGCGTGAGATACCATCTATATAATAGTTTTTTGGCTAACTCTATATGTCTTGAGCATAAAGAAAAGTTTTTGGGAGTGAGGATCATATATTCCCATTCTTGTTCAGTAAATTTTTTGTGGGTCTCTGTTTCCCATGCTTTGATAAATTTATGTTCATGCAGTTTGTGTTTTGTGGGTAGTGTTGCATATATGGAGGATATGAGTTTCTGGGGTGGTGTGGGGTTGGTATACATTTCCTCGAATGCTGTCATCTTTTGTGTCTGGGTATTGATTGTTTTCTCCTGAATTTGTATGCGTAGCCATGAATCTAATTGGCGGTATGAATAGTGTGGTATTATCGGTAGCTTATGGGAGTTTTGTAATGAGGCAAAGGTCGTTAGGCCAGTGTTAGTGATTATCTGATGTAGGAATTGTATACCATGTCTTTCCCATATTCTGTAGTTAAAATCCGGGATAATGAGCGCTAGTGACTTAAGTGGCATGGCTTTAGAGATTGTTGAATTGTTTGTTAGGGTGGGTCGGGCTTCATCCCATATTTTTAGTGACAGTGTTGTGGTTGGTAGGCAGTCTTGCAGTTGCGGTCGGTTAAGTTTTGGTATCCACACTAAATTATCAGTGCTAGCATTATCAGCCCATTCTGCTTCTAAGTGTTTCCATTGAGGTGCTTGTGTACCTGGCCGTGCTTGGATGATACTACTTAGTATGGTTGCGTGATAGTATTGTTTCAGGTTTGGCATATTCATACCCCCTTCTTTGAGCGGTAATTGCAATACCTTTAGGGCTATACGTGCCCTTTTGTCATTCCATACAAATCTGGTTATCCAGCGTTGGATTGTGGCTAAATACGTGGCGGGTATATGAATCATTAGTGATCTGAATAGGTATAACAACTTGGGGAGAATTATCATCTTGATCGCTACCATGCGACCCGACCAGGATATGAATGATGTTTTCCATTCTTGTAGTTGTTTTTTTATTTCTATACTGAGTTTGCCATAATTGGCATTGAATAGTGCGGTGTGCGATTTTGTAAAACGTATTCCTAGAAATGTGATGTAGTCAGTTCTCCAGTCGTATGGGTAGGTGTTTTTTAATTTATGGGTGATATCTGGGGGGAGTCCTTTACAAAGTACTTGCGTTTTAGAAATATTCAGTTTGTAGTAAGACATTTCACTGTATTTTTCTAGTATGGAGTGGAAGTGTGGTAGGGAGGCTTCTGGATCTTGTATCGTCAGTAATACATCATCTGCAAATAGTGTGAGTTTATGTTCTTTGCTTTTTGTTTTGACGCCTAGGATTGATGGTTGTTGTCTAATGAGGGTTGTGAGAGGTTCTAACGCTAAGACATATAACAGGGGTGAGAGGGGGCATCCCTGTCTGGTCCCATTCGTGATTGCGAACGGATCCGAGAGGAACCCTGCGTTAGTGAGTCTGGCAGTGGGGTTACTATAGAGAGCCCGTATAGTGTTCATAAACTCTAATGGGAATCCAAATTTCACTAAGGTCGCTCTAAGAAAGTCCCAATTCAGCCTATCAAAAGCCTTTTCAGCATCAAGCGACATGAATAGGCATCCCGTTTTCCGTTTATGTGTGCTATATAGTATGTCTAAAACTTTCCTAGTGCCGTCCGTGCCTTGCCTTCCTTTTATAAAGCCTACT